GGGCAAACAGAAGAAGGGGTTGCAGCCAGTCTCAACCATAAAGGTGCCTCCTCATAGGTGATTTTCATAATACACATATATCCTAGCCCTTGAGGGTGGCAAAACTATCTAGTCATAATTTACATATGTGAAAGTATGGCCCTAAAGGGTAGGGAATGAAAAGAGCTTAAAGCCAAATCCAAGTCTCCAGGGGCATGCACCTTGCACTATAGACAGCCCTGTAGAGAGCTGGTCATCAACAAATATTAAAGAAAGAGCAACACAATGGCTGTGCTCATTTATCAAAATAATTGCAGAAGTTACAACATCTATTACCAGCCATAACAATATTTCAGTGAGCTCCCAACACTCAGTTACTGATACAGGGTCCTCAGGAAGCTTAACAAGACTTTTAGGCTAACTAAACACACAAAGGAGAAAATGGAATTAAATATGTTTATTTTGGTGTTAAAAAAATGCTCCAAATCCACACCTAACTGCTTATCACAATGCACAGTTTTCATTAACTTTTTGATCATACCCATAAGCATGGACTTCAAAAATAATTTCTGCGCACCAAAATAAAATCATGTTGCATTTCTTATGCCATGGAAGCTTGGAAAACCTCCTTGTAAAGCTACCCAGAATGAAATGAACTAGAGTTGGTAATACCGGTGTTGTCCAGTCAAGCAGTTCAGACTGGAAGTTGTATACAGTTGAGTGATAAAAATGGACACAGGAGATCTTCCTAATACATAGCCAAGTTGCAGGGGCGGGGATAGGAGCCAGGTGGCTCGCTTAACAGGATCCTTGCAGATAAAACACTGGCCACTACAGGCCAGCTCTCTGCTCTGAGTGTGTAGAGAGGCCCTGGCCACACTTCACCAGCACTGTGGCCTTCATATCCTAGCTATAAGTTCCTCCTGGCATCTCAGAAAAAAGATACACTGGCTTCAGATTTCAATGTGGACCCTATAGCTAAGTTGTCATTCTGGGCCAACAAATCCAGGTTTCACCAAACTTTTTCACAGGCTCGCCTTCCCACCAGCCACACCCACCAGCAGCCCATTATGCTCTAAGCTGACACTGAACACCAAATATTGATCACATTCAGGCCCTTCAAATTAGGGCAGACAAAGGCAGAGGTCCTGACCTCCCATCCTTATGTGAGCAGGGACATGGTGTCTCTTACCGAAGGAAAGTAGCACTGATTTTTACTAATGATCAGAACTGACACTTCACGGCATTTATATGGTTTTACATATTATTTTGTGTATTCTTCTGTTTCTGTGCTATAAATAGGTAGTATAAAATTTACCTATATGCTATTATATATTTTTCACATATAAAGCGTTACAAATACAGCACTGGACAAACAGTAAATATTAAACACATGCAGGCAAATCAATTCTCCTTGGTATACCTGGTACAGCAGAACAAATATAGTATATAGCTGAATACGCAAATCAGCTAAGGGTGCATGTGTAATAACAGATAATTACTTGAGGAGTCTGATGCAATGAAGAAGAAAATTCACAAACACAGCTTGGGGAACTGATATATGGAAGGGAAATGCACTGGTCCAAACATTGGTAATTCCACATCAAGTAGTCTACCACGGATATGACCTAACTTCGCTTCTGATAGAAAAAAATTCACTAACAATAACAAATTGTTGGGTATTTTCCTGCTACTTTGCCTTAGTTATTCCATATTGTTTTTCCACACCCAGAACAAGCTACTAACAGTTTTCAAAGGTAATGTTTTACACATGAGTAGATTGCTTAACTCCAAAGTGTTCTTCCACAGTGTTTCAATTGTGCCCCTAGGAAACATGGTTAAATAGCATTTTACCTTTCATAAAATCTACCTCCAAAGGTGATGTTTGAATTTATTTATTTATTTATTTATTTATTTATTTATTTATTTATTTATTGTCAGCTCACTAACTAGGATGCAACCCACCACAGATTATAAACAGGCTGTAGGTCTTGTTCTTGACTCACTCCAGAGCCCAGCACTGTGTCTGATACACAGCACACATCCCACAAATACTACATGTATGAATAAATTCTCTGGTTTCCTTCAAGACTTTTTTGGGTCTGAGACAGATAAGGAAACAACCACCCACATACCCAATTCAGTGACCTGCTCACTGTCTAAAAGAAACTAAGGGAAAATGCTCTAAAAACAACAGCTCTCATACGAGGTAATGGTAGGCAAAGAGAGCCAAGGTCCTTGTGAAGATTGAGGCAGATGTTGAAAATCCAGTCTCAAATTTTCCACAGCCAAGTCTAAACATCTTTAGCAGTGGTATATTAAATATTTGCCTAATAAAGTATCTCAGAGAGCAGAGTAAGAGAAAAGAGTGACTGTTTCTGGAGCTGTCACTTCTTGACAACAACCACTTGTTTGCCATAAGTTACTCGCAATTTGACTACAGACCCTCAATTTTAATTATGATGACCAATTATGATTTTTGTACAGGTACCTAAGTCTGAAGTAGGTGGAATTCTAATTAGAGGGCACACAGGAAAAAAATACGACTCAACAAGAATGAGATATATGCATGTTTCATCTTAAGAAGCAGCTGCAAATCATAACAATACAGGAGAATTCTTGGATCCAAGGCGGCCAAAGCCTAGCTCTTATGCAACAGGCTGCTGTAAATTCTAATCATTCACTAATTACAGTGAAATTCTGGACTTTGCCACATTGATCAATAGGTGTTTCAAGGTTACACCTACAAATGGCCAGATTCCATGCTTCCAAAAAAAAAAAATCCATCTGGTAAAGTTTCCTAAGGAAAGAAATAAGCTTTCCCAGGAGTTTATAGGTTTCTATTTTTCCTCTTTCTCCTAACCCCCAACTACAATCCTAACAGAAGGATGAAAGGGACTAGGAAAAGCAAGGAACCCTGAATTTCTCTCTCTCTCTCTCTCTCTCTCTCTCTGTTCTGTGTGTGTGTGTGGTGCATGTGGTGAAGTTAAACAACCACCCTTGGGGCCCTGGTAACACAGCCAGCATCTGTCTGTCATCAAGACCATCGCCCCTGGTCGTCGCTTGGCAGACCCCTGTCTGCACCTGCCCTTAAGCACCAAGAAAGAAGTTCAGGCTGCTAAAGTTCAAGTGTAGCTTGCCATGGATATGAAAACTAATAAATGTCTGCAGGCTTAATGGCAACCTTGATGATGATTCCTGAAAATCCACAACAGGAAATCTAAGTATCCTCCACCCTCCCTAGCCATTCATCAAAAGCAGACCGAATCACAGCCACCGGGCGCCCAGCGGCACAGGCCAGCACTTGGCCTCATTTAGAACTACATTTTCTTCTTCCTCATCCAAGGGCAGCCAGCACCACCCTCAGCCCCCGACGGGAGCAAGGAGCGAGTAGTACGCACCCCATCCACCGCCAAGCTTCAAACATGACAGTGTTAGAAAGCAGGGAAAGAGCCACCCCCACTAAATGGAATGCCGACCACCATGGGGCTTGCCTCCGCCACCCGGCACAGGGACCTCAGCGGTGCCCGCACACACGCTCCTCATGCCCGGCTCAGGCGGTCAGCCTTTCCTTTCCTGCTTCCAAAGGGGACTAGCTGGTGAGGGTGGCAAAAGCCCCTCAGCGGGTGATGCCGCTGCCTCCTGGGGGAGGACAGGAGTTCTCAGTGACACCCTGTGAATTGGGACAGCTTCCTTGAGCCCCCTCGCGGGTGCCAACCACTAACCCATGCCAGTGGAAGCGGGCGGGCGCCGCGATTGGCTGTGGCCGGCATCGCTCGGTGGGCGAGGCGGAAAGGAAGTGGCGGCCGCGGCTTTGCACCAACCATGTTCGGCCTGAGGACGAATGTCACCCGGCGCCCACAGCGGGGGTCGGAGGGCGCAGGCGGGCGCGCACGCCCCCAACCCACCACCGTCGCCCTGCGCCTCAGGACCTGAGAAGGGAAGCCAGCCCGCAGGGCGCCGCTTGGTCCCCAGAGGCTCCCCGCCCCCACTTCGCCCGCTCCGTAGCGGTGGCGGGTCAGGCCCAGCGCGCCAGGCCCGCCCGGGGCGCCATGGGGACCCCGAGGCACCCGGCACTAGGCCGCAGTCGCGGCCAGTGCCAGATGACCACTCTGTGCGACACCCTCCCTGGACGCGCTTTCCTGAGCCCCCTTGAGCGCCCGGACAAGTGCAATGACAAAGCCCCAGGGCCAGGCCAAGCCGGATGCTGGCCGGCGGGAAGGAGGACGCCGCGTCCCTCCCGTGTGGCGGCGGCGGCGGCGGCCCAGCCCCCAGGAAGCCGGGCGCGTCGGCCAGGCCAGGCTTGGAGCCCGACTCCGGCTGCCAGCACCCGATGCCCAGGACCCTGCCCCGAGCCGAGCCGGGGCGGGTAGGTGAGCCCCAGCTTCGCCACGGGGCGCCCCATCAAGTTTGCTGTTGCTGGAGCGCGGGCAGCTGGCGGCGGGAGGGCAGCGGTGCCCGCTTATTTACCCTAGCGGCTGCCGCCAGCTCCAAAGAAAACCTGCTCTCCTCCTTTGGGTCTGCCGGGCGGCAGTGGATGTAAACACACACACAGACAGGACAATTTTTGTTTTAAGTGAGGGCCGACACCAGCGGACCCGCTCCCCGACACACAACACCTGAGGTACATAATCAACACTGAGTAGATCTGTGTCCCTGAAGCCACCTCTTCACATCTGCAAATCCAAAAGTGAAATTAAACCTCCACCAACCTCCTCCTCCTCCCTCTCTACCTCCTCCTCCTCCTCGCAGCCTCAGCAGCCCCAGTAGCAACAGCAACAGCAGCAGAACCTGCTTTCCCCCAGAAATCAGATGATCCATAATTACGCCGACTGATCCTCCACCAACCGGTATTAATATTTATGGATCCCGGCATTTTCTGTCTGCAAAACAGCGTGTCAAAGCATCAGGGGACACACACACACACACACACACACACACAGCCCCTTTTCCCTTGCCTTCAAGAGAAAACACAACGTGTAGTCACAACTATAATTTGGGGGAGGAAAAAAAAATGTTACCTTCTCAGTGTGCTTTTTTCAACGCTACCAGTGCAATTCCACAAGGTATGAAGTGTTGTTAGGGTGTGGGAAATGGAAACGAAAGCCCGTCAGTTGAATAATCTCAGGAGCAAAACTAAAAGTTACTCCCCGGCTTGCCTGAGAACAGTCCAGATCGAAAGCAAAACAAGGAGAGGAAACTGCGAAGCGCCGCCGCTGGAAATCCCCCCACCCCCCGCCCTCCTCCCGCCGTGCGCCCTCCCGCGCCTCCCCCTTCGCCCGCCTCCCTCCGCCCTTCCTCCCCAGTGTTTGTTTCAAGGCTTGTGCAACCAAGAGGTGGAGGCCGAGGGAGGGCGCGAGCGGCCGGCAGTGAGGTGCGGAAGTTCTCCGCCACCGCTCATTGGCTCGCCACGCCGCTTTCATCATTTCTCGGAAAAGTCAATTTCATTTTCACTTCCCCATGTCGCGGGAGCAACAAGCAACAAGCGGCCGCCCGTGAATCTCAGCTGTTGGTAGTGCGGCGGGGGTGCTTGCTTTCCTGCTGCAGGCACTGGCATGGAGGACCCCCGCGGGAGGAGAGCCTTGGCGCAGGGCAGGGGTTCACATAGGCCTGGGGTTTGAGGCCCAGAAGATCCTGTGGTGGACCAGGATGGGCGCAGGTGCCATGTCTGGCCTTCCTCGGGGTCACCTGGAGCTTGAGGAGGAGGGACTGAAGAAGGAGGAAGCATAGGAGCTGCTACCTCCCGGTTGGTAGGGCGACCTGGCTGCAAATGCTGTTTGGAACCATGGGGGCGAGGACAGAAGATGTCAAGGAGTGGAACGTGGGACCGTCGGGGTTTAGGCCAGCACCGTGAGGCATCCCTGTCTGATTGCAGCCCTTGTCGGTGATTGAGATTGTGACCATTTGTGGAGCCGCACCACCTGCCCTGACACCACCTGACATCCCGTTTGGTTGCTAGGCGAGGAAGGTCTCAACACCAAGACTATGTATCCTAGCCTTGCCACTGAGAAGGCGACAGATTATGCTTTCCTCTTTGGGCCTGCTTCGCTCACTTGCTGAGCAGCCCTGGCTGCTTTGAACGCCTGCACCACGGAGATCAAAGGGAGGGCACAAGAATACCCGTGGAGCAGCTGTGACAGGTGCTACAGGTGTCACCTGCTTGCTCAAACTCGGACTACCAACTCCCTTGGGAGCTCCTCCTTGTCCATCACTTGCATACAAAAGCATCGATTTCACATTTAATTACACCTGTTCCTTCTTCCCACCTTCAACAACTTTCCCCCAAACTTCTAGCCCCTTCTTTAGCAGTTTACACAATATTTTATAAATAAACGCTTCCTAAAATAATCACTTGAACACACTCTTTGTTCCAGAAGTATTGCCTTCTGCAGACTTAAAAAGTCTCCCAATATGCTTGTGTCGTTAAGCAGGAGCTGAAGATTTAGTTCTCTGTTGTGTGCCCTTGCTCTCACAAGTAGGTCTCTCCTACACACATTTCGTTTCCCCCTCAGTTGAAGTAAGTGTCTGACGCAGCCACTTGCTTTCTTAATTTATGTACCAATGACCCTCATTGGATTCAAGTTTAAAACCCAGGAATCAGATTTCTTTTTCTAACAGTGTTTCCCCTGGAATGGGAAGAAAAAAGTGGAGAGGAAGGAAAGAAGAAAGTAGGGAACCACTGAGTATCTCACTTGTGACTCACTGATGTCACTGCAGCTGTTGCCACACACAGGCTCCAGGAGGGCAAGAAATCCTCCTGAGGGCTCCTTGGGCCATATGGTGCTGCTTTCCCTGGGTTTCTCAAAGCCAGCTGCCTCTGTAGTGCTAGTTCAAGGAGCCCAGATAGAGTTGGGTACACACAGCCCTTCATGGCCTCCTAACAGCCCAGTCACACATAAGGCAAAAAAAGGAAACTTATTTGCAAAGTGCCAATACGCATGGAACTTGAAGATAGGCATCATTACTGTGCATATCCACCCAAAGATGATGTTCAGGACTCCGTGGCCTTTGATAAGGATGGAGTTTGTTGCTAATTTCCCCCACTCCCATCCCCACCATGTCCTTATCCCTTCTGCATAAATCCATAGTTATTGCATCCTGGAAACACACTGATACTACATCTTGGGACCTGGCCCATCCCTTGAGGCCTGCGAAGAGATGATATACCCTATAGCCTTCCATGGGATCTTCCAGGCCAGCAACCATACTGCTACCCAAGTTAAGTATAGCATCCCTGTCAGGTACAGCCCAGCTCCCATTCTGGCTCTTCAGTCTTCAGACCTAAGGCCACCGTTTTTGCTAAGACCCATCAAGTCTACTGTCGTTTAGCAGCAGAGTACTCTCCCAGGAGCCCTGCATTCCTCCCTTGCCAAAACAACTGTTGGTAAAACAGCAGAACTATCCTCTTGTGTACTGCTTTCTCCTTAGCATGGTGTCCAGCATATAGGAACACTCCTCAGCCAGTCATTATTTGCTCTTTGCTCCATAAATTTAGACTTTATCAAAGCATTTGTCCCACATTTTAGTAGCTCTTCAATATAAAGATATCTGATATTTATTAGACATAGTTCAGAAAATATAGGCTATTTAAGAAGGCAAGGCATCTGAAATCTCACCCATCAGGAATAGATTTATTGGTATTTTATATCTATTTCCTTCTATTAACTTTTCTAACAGGCCATTTTCACTATGTTTCACTCAGTCTCTTAGTCACTTAGTAACATTGATTGTCCTGCCTTGTTGTCCACTATGCTGCCTCAGCGACATCCTCCCGGCCTAGTCTGATTCCTAGCTGCCTGCTTCTGTGCTACTAGCACCCTCAGTTATGGTGTTTCCTGACCTTCTTTCCTCAATCCTCTTACTTGATCATTCTATATGCTTTCTCTTTAGTTGCTCTCACCCATGCTCAGCGCTTTGCAGATGCCCACCCACATGGTCCCCAGCTTATGATGATTCTATCTACCATTTTTTTCCAGCTTTAGGGTGATGTAGAATGTCGCATCATGGCTTTTGGTCTGTTCCCAAGACAGGATGAATGGTTCAATGCTTGCTTTCAGGACTGGACAGAGGCAGCTGTGGCTCTAAGTTAGCCCCAGGATTCCCAAGGGAAGCATCTCAAGCTCGTCAATGCGCTTAAGCTACATGAGCAATGGCATTTGGCAGGTTGCATGGATTAAATGCATTTTCAGTTCAGGCTGCATTCAGTACATTGTTTAGCAGCATGTATCTGCCTCTGCACCCCCATCATTCTCAATGAGTGTCTGTGTTAGGTGTGTTAGGTGAGTCCTCCAATTCTTCTGAACCCCAGACACATCCCACCTAGATGTGCAACAAGTCATTTGAGCTAAAATTAAGCTCAGCATAACCTCTTTTCCCATGCCCTTGCATTTATTATTTCATTAGCTGGCCAGGAAGCTGGGGGCATCACAGACTCTCCAGTTTTCTTGAACCCCTGGAGCACCCAAGAATACTTGGATGGCCTCCCATTTTCCAGATACCTAAACTCAGAGAATATGGACTGCATCTCTCTCTCCTGTTAGGCCCTTGGTGCCTTGCAACTGCAGAGCAAAAAAGTCAGTATGACCCAACATACCCAGCTGGTACTGACAGGCACAGTGAAGAGGAATTGCTTAGCCTCTGATGAGCCACTCATAGTAGTAAATCTCTGTGCAGATTGGAACAATATGGCAAAATACAATGTTTTGAGAAGTCTATCGGAACAGTACATTCTGCCTTACCAAGGAGATCTGACCAGATACCATCATCTAATAGGAGAAAAACCTGTTGCTGGGGGCAGGCCTGTGGAGTGAAAGCATAGGTCTGCGTCACCAGCAGAGTGGAACATCCTCCAGAGTTCTACCTGGATATGCCTGGACTAATTTCAGGGGAACTGGACAGACAAAGATCAGTTGAACATGATAATTGAGTGGCTCTTAACTAAAGATGTGTAAAGATACATGCTGGGCCCAATGCAATAGCCTAGTGGCTAAAGTCTTTGCCTTGCCTCTATCAGGATCCCATATCGACACAGGTTCTAATCCTGACTGTTCCATTTACCATTGCATAGTTGAGGACAGTTCAAAGCCTGGGGACCCTGCACCCATATGGGAGACCTGGAAGAAGTTCCTGGCTCCTGGCTTTGGTTTGGCTAGGCTCTGGCCATTGCGGCCACTTGGGGAGTGAATCAACAGATGGAAGATCTTTCTTCTCTGTCTCTCCTTTTCTCTGTAAATCTGACTTTCCAATAAAAATAAATAAGTCTTTTTGAAGAAAAGATATACCAAATTAACTGCTTTCAGATGGGTTTTTGTTTTCTAATAAATGAACATATTTTCATAAAATAATCATTCAAGTAACAAACATTTGCTAAATGCCTGGGAGTGTTTAGCAGCCCTTCAGGCCTTGCAGGAAACAAGGAGTGGTAACCTCTGCTTTCCAGGTCTTCTGACAGCGTAGGAAATTCACATGTTAATTTCCATAGTAGTATGCCAACAATGGCACTAATGTCACCTTATTCTACAGCTGTAGCTTTTAAAACTGTACATTAAGTTATGCATAATGATGGAATTCTAACTAAAGTACATCTATTACTAAAACAGAGTACCCTCCAATTTTCTCTATAGCATTGCTGCACCTATTTCTTTATGAGTATTTATTGTTTGAAAGGCAGAGTGACAGTGGAGGTAAGGAGAGGGAGATTTTCAAGCTGCTGGTTTACTTTCTGAATGGTTGCAGTGCCCTGGCAGGTCATAACTGACATAACCCTCCATCCGGGTCTCCCATGTGGGTGGCAGGGGCCCAATCAATAGGGCCATCCTCTGCTGCTTTTACAGAGAGTTAGATTGGAAATAGAGCATCTGGAACTTGAACCATCACGTATATGGGATGCAGGCCTTGGCTAAACCAACTGTACCACAATGCCAACTGTTCCACAATGCCACACTGTTACTATTTCTGTCCTGCAGTAAACTCCACAGTGCTAGAATTCAAACCATTATTACAGAAAATGAGGACTCCAAGGACAAATATTGGACTCAGTTAGATGCCACTTGGGACTCCACACCTGGGTTCCAGTCCCGGCTCTACTGTCAGCTGTACCTTTCTTCTGATACACAGCCTCAGAGGCAGCAGATACACGCTTTCAAGGACTTGGGTTCTTGCCTCCTGTGTGGCAAGATGAAGCTCTAGGCTCCTGGCTTTGACCTGGCCCAGTGCTAACTGTTGTGTGCATCTGGGGAGTAAACCAGTGAATGGAACCTCT